AGTGCTCTCGGTGGAGAAAAAGTTATCTATAACTCGAGCAATAGATAAAGGTGAAAAGCAATCGGATGTCTTTCGTCGTACGGGGCTGTCTCAGTGAACAGTGGCTATGATATGAAAGGACAGAAAAACTGGCTTGAAGGGGAGATGGAGGGCGGTAGCAGGAAGAAGTTGGGGAAACCTCAGCACGAAGATTTAGATGGCGCTATGCTTCAATGGTTCCAGCAGCAGAGTGTGAACAATATTCCACTGTCTGGGCCTGTGGTGAGGTTAAAAGCTGAGTTTTTGTAACTGAACTTGGAATTGACCATTTCAAGGCATGTGAGAATTGGCTGAGCAAGTGGAAGCTGCGGCACATGATCAACTACGGGCAAATCAGCGGAGAAGCTCGCGATGTGAACAAAAACGTAACGGATAATTGGCTAAAAAACGTGTGGCCTAGACTAAAGGCACGATATCAGTGAGACGACATTTTCAATGCTGATGAGACTGGATTGTTTTTTAAAATGACACCAAACAGAACTTTAAAATTAAATAGGAAAAATTCGTTGGTGGAAAGCTGTCTAAGGAACGTATTACAGTTTTAGTGGCCGCTAACATGACAGGTTCGGTGAGGCGAAAATTATTAGTGATAGGGAAGTCGAAAAACCAGCGTTGCTTTAAAAACAGAAAAATCTACCGGTGACCTATAAAGCAAACAAGAGTGCGTGGATGACTTCGGAAATGTTTGAAAAAGCGATAAGAAAGTGGGATATCGAGCTTAAAGAGAAAAACATTCTTCTGCTTGTAGACAATTATCCTACTCATCCTGTACTGTGCGACCTTCAAAACATTGAATTTTGTTTTTGCCAGCAAACACAAGTAGCCCATGGACCAAAGTGTCATCAAGAGTTTGAAAAGCCATTACAGGAGAAGACTTTTAATGGAATTGGTTGAGAATAATGGCGATCTTAAACTAAACATTCTTGACGCCATTATAATGATTAGTAAATCCTGGGATGAGGTGAGGAGCAATACAATAAAACATTCATTTAAACACGCAGGATGGCTGGAAGATCAAGAGTTGACTAATGATGAAGATGACCTGCCAGTAGATGTATGGGCCAGACAGTTTGAACTTACTATCACCTACGGACCAGAAGAGCTAACAGATTTTGAAAGAGTTGATAAAAATGTAGTTAAAACATCTGGACTTTTTGACGAGGATATCCTACAAGCAGATCGTATAGAAGAAGAAGAAAACAGTAACCCGGAAGTGAAAGCAGAGCCAGAACTAGCTCCGACCCCTCAGCAGGCATTGCAAGTACTGCCTCGATTCTTCATCCACCAGGAAGACGAATGCTGTAGAAAATTCTATGTGTCTTCAGGACAAGGTCAGGTCAGTTCTGTAAAAAGGAGACAGACCAAGGTGACAGACTTTTTTGTTAATGTAGGCTAAATATATTTTACAGTAGACTATTATTTTGTTATTGTACAGTACACGTTTTAATTTTACAGTCATTTTTTTATACTGTATTGCTTATAGTATTCTTTAATAAATCTATGTGGTGTACAATACAGTGTTAATTCATTTATATTCGTTTTGATAAATTTTTTAAATTAAAATATGTTATTTCGTACAGTATTATTAATATTACAGTACCGAATTTTACCTCTCTCTGTATAACGATCTCTCCTTATAACGATGAAAATTCCCGGTCCCTTGCACATCGTTATAGAGAGAGAGGACTGTATATTACAATACATTTAATTTTAAGTCAGTAATGCCTGATACAAGTACATACATACTATCTAAAAGTAGGTATATTATAATACATTTAATTTTAAGTCAGTAACATTTCATTAATAAGATATGTGGCTAATGAACATATTTCGAAGCCAAACCTCTCCACACACACACATAACTATAATAAAATGACTTCGCCTTAACCGCCCTACTTATACAACCTACGTGATACGGGCATTTTTATGGACTAAATGATTTGGACTAAATGGATTTTAATCAATTTTTGAAATTAAACTATTTTATAATATTTTACCGATTAGTTTTAAAATTCAAACCTGTTTATTTCCTAGGCTTTTTTTGAGTTGTCAATCGCCGTTACCCACCCAAAGCACCAACCTAAATATTCATATAGATATAAATAACTAATTTAAAGTTATCAATGTTTCACTTACGTCAAGTTTTTAAAAGTATCACTACTAGGAGATATCTCATTTGATAGAAAATTACAGAAATTTTTCTTTAAACTGGTTCTATGTTAAAATGTTTCATTGAAAAAACACAAAAAAGGATGTACACTAGGGTGGGCCGACAAAATTTTTTCTGGAAAATAACAACGCCTGTGGTCAAAAAAGTTGAGTTATACTAAAACACAAATTTTAAGTCCAAAATGAGTAGCTAAAAATATTTTTTTCCACTGCCACAAAGACTCTATATTTTTTTAATATAAAAGGTCATTGTGGCAGTGGAAAAAATAAAAAATAATAATTATTTCAAACGCAGATCTTCATATTTTTTTATTATATAATTTTTGAAATGCAATCTGAAAGAAATACCAAGATTAGCTGAAACACTTGACCGGTATTTGGTTTCAGACCGAGCAGGAGCAGTTATTGCATCAGCGGTGCTACTAGATTTTGGTGTCATAGATCCGCAAAATAAAACAAATATCATCGATAAGAACAAAATAAGAAGAGCAAGAGAAAAGAGAAGAATTGAGGTTCAGAACGATTCCATTCCATTATGTCTTCGTGGTCTTTACTTTGATGGACGGAAAGACAAGTCTAGGAAAATGCAAGAAAAACTGTGTTGAAGAGCATATCACAATGTTAGAAAACCTGGTTCTAAGTATCTGGGTCACATTTGTCCTACATCTGGCACTGCTATTAATATAGCAAATGCAATCTTGGAGTTTTTAAAAAAATGTAATTTGGACCTCAATAACTTAGAAGTCGTTGGATGCGACGGTACTGTCACAAATACAGGGAGTAAAGGAGGCATTATAGTGTTACTGGAGAATAAAATTGGAAGGCCCCTGCAGTTGTTTGTCTGTCAGCTTCACGCCAACGAGTTGCCTCTAAGACACCTATTTGAAAAACTGGATGGCAATACCAGTGGACCAAGTGTGTTTTCGGGGCCTCTTGGAAAACGACTGCAAGTTTGTGAAACTCTTCCTGTAGTTTCATTTTCAAAAATAGATTCATCAGTGGACGAATTTCGCAGCGACGATCTAAGTACAGATCAAAAATACCTGTACGATATTTGTCAAGCAGTAAAAAGTGGTGCTTGTTCAGAAAAACTTTCTAAGAGACAGCCTGGAAAAATGGTTCATTCTCGGTGGCTTACCACTGCTTCCCGTATCCTTCGGTTATATGTAGCAACCAGAAACCCATCGGAAAATTTACAAATACTAAGCCATTTTGTAATGAAAGTGTATGCGCCCATGTGGTTTTGTATTAAGACTTACCCGTCATGCATTTAAGGTGCAAAGCATCTATTCAAGACAATACGACTCTGCGACTATTTACTACCAGAATTGAAAGACGTAGTCTATAAATTTATTCAAAGAAATGGATACTTTGGGAGCCCAGAAAATATTATTTTGGCTATGTTGTTTGACGAACGTAAACACATAAGACAGTTGGGGTTCCAAAGAATTTTTGAAGAGCAGACAGTTAAATTACAATGACAATTACAATTACAATGACAGAAATGATGAGCGACATTTCGTAGTACCAGAGTTATTTTTTGGCAGTAAAGTTTACTTTGAGATTATCGACTGCCAGAAAGCTTTATGAACAGAGTCTCCTGTAACTATGAAGCTATCAAAAGACCAACTAAGGGAAGTTGTTGAAAATCCTAAGCCTAGAAAAAATTCAACTTCATCAATATGTAGCAGCAACCATAAAACAAAACACTTGCAAAACATGGCAAAATCATTGGAATGGACAAAACTCAAAACTTCTTTTAATCAATCCTACTGTTTACTCATTTAAGATGCCTACAATGACTAGGAGGGACAAACTTATAATTCAAAGACTTCGAATAGGACACACACGCATCACTCACGGATACCTGATGACTTCCGAAAACCCACCTGCTTTTGAAAATTGTGATTATCAGCGCCTTACAGTAGAACACTTACTCGTCTAGTGCAGTTATTATAGACTATATAGATTAGCTCATAATATAAACGGTAACCTGAAAAAGATACTTAGTTCGCCAAATATGTACATGTACACTGTACTCCACAAAAAACACATTAAAAAAATTGGTTATGGTAAAAGGTATCAAAGCCCGAGCATTTGTTGTAGTTGAATCAGTAAATAGAATGAGAGGAATCGAATGCCTTTTAAATGTTTCATCAAAATAAGTGACAAATGACATATGTCATACATAGGAAATTAGGATTATTAAATTATCAAAAAATTTATGAATTGAAATTCATAATGAAACAAGAAAAGTAGTAGTCATACTTTTAAAAACTTGACGTAAGTGAAACATTTTAAAAATTTAAATTAGTTGTTTATAGCATTGTTCTGTTGTAATATAGCACTGACGATGGCTTTGTTAGCCGAAAGCGCTCAGCCAGGAAATAAATGTTTACACACTTCCAAAAACTTTTCGTTTCCATTATTTGATTTATTGTTTTTTCTAGTTACTTGAATCGTTGCTTAGTTACTAAATCCGAAACCCATGTTCATCGAATAAACTGTATTTGTTGTTTATGTCTATCAAATAGCCAGGCAGACTAATTGCACTCACTTCACTATGAGTGATCTAGTGGACTGATGGTTTAAATCCTGGCCAGAAAACAAAAAGTCTAACGTAGCAGTCTAAACTCCAAATGTATGGCCATAGGTGGACGTTGCGGCTCGGTTTGAATTCCGTTAATCTTGGCGGGACATGGCAAGAAGCTATAGGCTTGTCTAGTAATAGTGTTAATTTAGTTTTTGATTCTGCAATGCAGTTGTTTAATATTCCATATTATTGTTTTCAGAAACTGACTGATGGACTAAAAACTACGAGAGTCCAAAACAACAAAAATAATGAATTTACAAAATTGCAGTTTACTACCGAAGATAGCAAGTTGATATTGACTGTTGGAAAAAAGGAATTTAACCATTCGGATCACCAAACTGTGTTCCAAAACCCTACTTCAGAATGGGTAAGTGGAAAAATCAAGTATGAATTTGCTATAAATATTTATATAAAATAGACAATGTATAATATACATATATTTTACTTATTCTACCTCATATTTCTGTATGGGAGAGTGACGAAAAATTTTTTGCATACTTTGAAGTCACAAAACCTCAAAATAATTCAGTGTTATATTGTATAAAATGTTGTTCATGAGAAATTATGTAGCTTGAAAAGGCTCACTTATATATCCAATAATACACAAGTTAATAATATATAATTTATCATCTACTGAAAATATATATAATTCTTCAAACAAAGATCTCACTGTTAGCATTTGAATTTGTAAAAATGTACTTTTTCATTAACGTTTCTGTATTACTTTGTTTACATCTATTTTAAATAAGTTAATGACATCTGCCAATTAAAATCAAGTTTTATTTTTTTAAGTTTCTTCTTTTATATGTGCCCATATCAATTTTATTGGATTTACTTTGCCACAATATGAAGGTAACCGAAGCAAGCATTCGATACCACGAGGTTTTGCTATTTTATCCACAGCATATTTGACGTCTAAAAATCATACGAACATGTAGGATTTTGCTTAGAACGTCAATTTTGGCACCCCAAATAAGATGTAAAAAAGTTTGCCACTCCTATCCCTGGGATATCCCTAAACCCCCCTTGAAGGGGGGAAACAGAAAACATCGATTTACCAAGAAACTGTAGATACGTAGAAAAAATGTTTGAAACAAAAAATGTAGCTGAGATAATTTTGAACAAAAATGTTAATTAGCACTTTCTGTGTAAAATGAAACGTTCTCTCAGAAATGAAATTTTCTCTGATATCTTTTGATCAGGGTAACCTATCAACAAAGATTAAAATGGGTTTTAATGCAGTGTGAGTGTTGATAGATACATAGTTTCACGAATCACGAAGCAAAACGCAAAAATTTAATATATTTCCTAGTAACTTGTAAATTAGATGGTATGTATCCTGCTGGAATTTAGATAATATGTAATAATACAGACATTTTATTACCAAGAGGTATTTTTTTTTGTTTGCAACAATTTAAAAACCTATATATTATAAGCTTGCGACATTTACAGTAATTGCAGATTATTAAAAATTGGGTGATTATTTTAACTCTAAATATACAGTTATGAAAGATAAGTTTAATAACAAATAATAATAATAAATAATTAATTAATATTTAGTCGCTACATTAAAGTCTTTAATTTTACGGAAATCCCTTATCGGACTTCCTTTGGAATGAGATGATAAGAAAACGAATATATTTTTAATAAACAGTATGGCTAATTTAGGATAGAAATTGATACCATTACTGCGTTGCGTTGTTTTTACTCTAATCAATATTGCTGGTTTAGGAGGTATATTATTGAAGTAGGTATTGTTAAAATAAATGAGAAGTTGACGTTTCTCCGGACTTCACAGTACCTAGTTAAAATAATCTTATCTATGTAAAAAAAAACTAATTCTTTCGTTTTTTAACAATTTGAAATTATACAGAAAATCGCTCGATTTTAGGATTAACTAGACAAGATGAAATAATTATGCATCGGAGGTCAACAACAACTGGTATTACAATAAAATGAATTGGAATGAGTGTTGAATAGTATGGACCTTTGTAACAAGAAACTACGTTTCCTGTAGTCGATTTTTTGGACATAATTAGTTTAATAAATTAATTACTAATAATTTTGGACTTAATTAGTGAAGCATTTGAAACAAATTTAAGAGTAATCAACTTATAAGTAATATACAAACCTTCAAAATGTTTTTTTTTTAATGTTTTTATCTTTATTTGTTGCTTAGAAAGTTGCAAAATAATTCGGAAATTTCAGTTTTTTATAAATGTTAATAACTTTTTTAAAAATAAACTTAGAACCTTACTAATATCACACGAGATGTTGGGTCTTGTGATAAGTAAAATAAGATCAAGAATTCAAAGCGATCGGTTAGTTTAAAAGTTCTTTGTTATTTGTTTATCCTATTTTTTTTTTTTTCAACAAAAAATGATAAAGTTACAGTAATTCTACGGATAGCTTATGAAGGAAGAAGTATTATTCTATCAACATTATTAAAAATAAATAAAAAGGTCATTCTACATATTGCAAAATCATTTTGTAAAAACATATTGATTTATTACTTATACACAATTACAATAATTTTTTAACTATCACCCGCAGGAAAATTATTTTTTCATATTTGCATTATACAAGATGTTCTTTTAAAGTTTAGAAGTATAGAGGTAACACTTGTTTAACTGTCGGCCATTTTGACAACTGTCAAATGATTTATGTTAATTTTGGTTTGGCATTTCAGCATGAATACACTTGACGCCTGAATAAAGCTTCCAAATTGTACAAAATAGCTCCTAGCAAAAGGAGAGTTCTTTTATTGTCTTCAAAGACGACAATTCCATCTGTATACCATTTTTCAAAGTAAAACACTTGCACGTCACGATTTCTACAAAGTGACGTCACTTGTACATATTTAAAATTTCCAGAACATCAACTTTAGAGTTCAAATTTTCCTAACACAACTAATAATACGACACCCATACGGAACTGCTTGATCTTTCATAGGCGTCAACATGGTGGAATAATCAGAAAAATGTAATCATCATTATATGGGAAATTTTAGAATTATATTGATTAAATAACCAAAAACATTTGTTATTATTAATAATATAAATTTAATGAAATAACTCTTTAAGTCCAATATTCCACAAATTAATAATTTTAATTCAATATATTAGACAATTGTACGCAACTGATACGGAAATACTTCAAATTTTTTTGACAGTTCAGCGGGTGGCAAAAGTGTATTAAGTGTTGTCGCTTTTTTAGAGTAGAAACTTTGTTTATGTTTTGATTTCTTACACAATTTGATCATAATGTAATATATATTAATACATTGTATTTATAATTACATATTAAATTTATATTAATAGCTTTAAAAACTAATTATTGCTGTGTATTGTGACTGTGATATGCCAAAACAAATAAATAGTCTGTAGAAAGCTGATAAGCTTTCATATAAGATAGATTATTTTGAACAAGAAATAATGACGAGACGTTTTTACGATTAAAGCCCTAAAAGAGGTAAGTTTAATATTTAGAATATATAATTGTGTATTAAAATTTTTTCCTATGTATTTCAATGTGTTGCAGCAGTCTTAAAACTAAGTGTATTTACTGTTAATATAATAGTTTGACAAATAGTTGACATTTTAAAAACTCCTCATTTACTAACTATTCTGTTGTTTTGGCAACGCTGTGGGGTTCTGACGACGTAAATCTTGAATGACGTACAAGCTTTTTTATATAAAAAATGCTATATATAAGGATGACTGTTTATTTGCCTTTTGTTTTATTTCCTGCTACTGTCATGTGCTGTTATCTTTTCGCGAGCGTTGTAACGAAATATTTTTTGTCTACCACATAGTGTATTATAATGAGGGTTGAAAATTTGGACAGAAACTATTGGGCTAGAGATAGGGCAAGCAAAACAAATAGAAACTTATGCGAACGGCACTAAGGGTTTATTTGGAGAGCTGGGGTTGTGGATAAGTTGAATGGCAAGGGATCGGATTGGGGCAACTACAAAAATGAAATAAAAGAGGGTACTTATATGAATTTCCTGGATAAATGGACAAAACTTAACAACAAGAAAGGCCTCTAGCTATTTAAAATAAGGACGCCGCTTCGAAGGATCCTAGTCTTGATGGATGAAGGACAAAATGCTCTTCCTTCCTAAAAAAGAAACACAAGAGGGGTTAAGAGACTTTTCTAAAATAAATAAAAAACAAATTAGTTGGAGAAATAAATTAAACATTTATTGTTGTCTCACTAAAAACAGTTACAAAAATATAGATGGCACAAAAAAAATACTTACGATATAAATAATACAAGGATTTATACCAAAATAATAAAAAATAAAAACTTACTTATGTCCTATTCATTTTACAAACTTTGTTTACAAGTGGGAGTTGCTACAAAAATTACAAAAATAGTTACTGGACTATAAGTTACTGGACTATAAACATGTGGCAGAAATAATTTATTACAAATAAAGAAATATATTTAAAATGCAACTATTCATCAAGGTTAACCCTTAAAAAAAACAAACCAAAATAATGTCACAAAAATAATAAAGCTAGCTGCTAGCTGTCAACATAAAATCTTACAACTGAACAAATAAAATGACAGCTAAGACCACGCCCTAAGGTTTACAATATTAAATATCAAAATTTTAAATTGTATGCAAGCAATTATTATTTTAATGTTTATTTTGCTTCAAAAGTTTAAAACAAAAAAAGAATTATCTTGGTTTCACTAAACACTCTCTAAAATTTCTGGGGTTACCTTCCCTGCCACACGATCAAATCCATTTCCATACTGTGAAAGATATTATGAGACGGTTTCTTAGGACAAATAATACAGACTTAAGGTTGAAAGTCTGGAACACAAACTCTGGACCAGGCTTCTTAAAAAAAGGAAACTGGAACATTAAGATTGCTGCAAGCGACACAAATTTCTTAGATACTTAAAAAAATAAATTTTGGTTACCTACTCAAATTTGACATATTAACAGAGAGTAAAATTCCACTGTTTTCAGCAAATTATGCCGGCTTCTGGTAAAACTATATAACGACGATCGTCCTCTTTCACCAAATCTTTCAACCTAGTTAACACGTACCAATCGATAAAACCATATTTTGTTGTAGTTAAAAACTGGATTTTGGAATTTGGGGTGTTTTCTTTGCTTTACATCACAATATAACCAGAATCTTCTTCTTCTTCTTCATGTACCATGTCCTTTCAGAACGTTGGTTACCATCATAGCTATTTTAATTTTATTCACTGCCACCCTAAATAGCATGCTTGTATCTACACCATACCAATCTCGCAAGTTCTTCAACCATGAGGTTCTTCTTCGTCCTGGACTGCGTTTGCCTGCTATTTTTCCTTGCATGATATTTTGTAGCAATCTATATT